AATTCCCAATTGCCATGTGAAAGCCAAAACTAGGGTTAAGGTTGATTCAATTTTGGAGTATAAAAGCTTTTGATTGATATTGTATTGAAATTTCAGTCAAACTAGGGTTAAGGTTGATTAATTTGGAAATCTATAAACTAGATTTGGCTGAAATGTGGAAATTTAGAAACTAGGAACTAATCTGGAAAGAAACTTCTATAGTTTTTGCCTTCTAGAGTCAATATTTTGCTGAAATCTAGAAAGTAGAAACAAATGTTGTAAGAAATCTCAAAATTCAGAAATTATAAAACAGCCTAGAAACTATTTTAACTGAAATATAGTTTCTACAATTAAACAATAGGCTAAATATAGCAAAAGACTGCATCCAGAAATAGACAATATCAATTAGGAAGGAAAATCTACAGCTTTCTCAATTGAAAGCTTTTATATGAAAGAAAGTCATGTCTGAAAGTTAGTTTATCATGCAGGTATCTTCTTCAAGTACAATGGGATGGATATGAAATGCTGCATCAAAAGGACTTGCTTTTATCCTTTAGGTTACTTGTAAATGTATATTAGAAAACGAGCTTGATATATTGTACACTCTTATATATTGTGTAATAATGATATTTGTAATTGTGATCATGAATATGAAGATAAAAATTAAAAGTGTGTATTATATGTTGTTTTTTCCTTTTTGTTTCACTTTGTTGTATTGTGTTGCTCTTTGTTGCATCTTGTTGCTTTTTGTTGCATATTGTTGCTTTTTGTTGTATCTTGTTACTTTTTGTTGCATCTTATTGTTTTTTGTTGATCATTGATTAATGTGTGATTTATGGTTTTTCTTAATATTTGTATTTATGTTTTCATTATTTTTGCTATGTCGTAACAAAGAGACTCTATAGATGTGCGTGCATAGTGAAAAAAAACCATATAATAAAACCACAAGCGAGAAACAAAAATAAACAATAACAAACAAAAATAAACAATAAGGAACAAATATAAACAATAGGAAACAAAATATGAAAATTCATGACATTTTATCTATTTAACAATTTTTTAATTATGTATTTCTTACATTTTATATATGTTTTTTATTGTCTAAAATTAAATTTTTAAACTTAATTTTTAATTTTAAGTATTCCTGTCAGATTTTATTTTATTTTAAATACGGAATCTTTTCCTAGCTTTTTTTTTTTACATTTTTTTTGTTTTATTATTTTACATTTTTTGGACTTCTAAATGTTTAGCTATTGATTATGTTAACTTTCAAATATTATACTCGGTATATATTTTCCATTTTTATTTCTTACTTTGTATTTTTATAAATTTGAATTTCTAATTTTTATTGATGTATTTATTTTATAAGTTATTTTTTTTTCAATTTAAATATTTATCCAGAATATTTTTTTTTTAAAGTTTTTATGTTTTAGTTAACATCTTTTAACAATTGAATAAAACTTTTACATTATTTTCAATCGTGTTGTGTTAGTAATTTTTTTGTATTTTACTTTTTGCGTTTGTTCTATTTATTTTCATTGTAATTTTAAAGAGAGAATTCCCTAAATAGGAGTAAAAAGTTTTGAAATTCCAAAATAGGAGTATCATGTTTTTTATTCCTTTAATATGAGTAAATTTCTGCCAAGTTTGGCATTACTAGGCTTTAAAACATGGCATTTTCCCCCAAACTTGGCAGATTACTCCTATTCAGGGAATAAAAAACATGACTCCTATTTTGGAATTTTTAAACGTTTTTGCTCCTATTTAGAGCAATTTCTATTGTAATTTTCATATTTTTTTTATTTCCTATAAATTTTATAGTTTTAATACTTCTTCATAATATTTGTATCATTTTTTACTATTATAATCATTTGCATGCTTTTTTCAATAAATCAGATCTTTTTAATTTAAATATTGTATTTCTTTTTATCAATCTATTATTTCATAATTTCTGAGATTCAGAAAGTTGACAATTATACATATTCTTTATATCCTTATATCATTTTTTTGAAGTTCTCAACTTTTTTATTTTAAAATTCTTCAATTTCTAACCTTTCAAAAAAAATCTTGAATTTCTAAGTTGCAATGGCACGTGCTTCAAAAAAAAAGTTGCAATGGCACGTACAACATTTAGTAGCACTAGATAGTATACTCCGTAGTCCGTATACTTGAGAGTGGGGCACGGGTGAGGTGGTTTAGCGTTGCAGGGGTCTATCCGTCTATTATTGAAAGGAAGTGTTAGATAGACTATTTTTGAAAAGAAAAATAAAAAGTGAAAAAAGTGATATTATTTTCAATTTTTGGTTCACTTGTGAAAAATTCCCTAAAATGTGATGATTGTGAATATTATACCATCCTCCACAAAACTCAAATCTCTTGCCAAGTACACGGTATTAAACTTGCTATAGTGCCTATATGGTACATCCGGGTGTATGTACACCCGGCCCAACTAAGGTAGACAGCCCAAAAACTAATACAGGCCAAAATTAATTCGGTGGCATTTTTGTAATTTAAGCGAAAAATCACGTCTTCCGCTAAATGAGCAATAGTGTACTTTTAAGGGAAAACTTTCAAATAGGTGCTCGAACTTTCATAAAAAGGTCAATTGAGTCCTTCTATGGGAGGTTCTGTCCGGATTTGGGACAGTTCCCGGTAGAATTTTTTGATGAATTTTTTTGAAAATCTTATCTACCAAGTCTAGTTTACTCATACCAAATTTCAGGTAAAAATTCAATAGAGAACACATTCAAATTAATTCTTGAAGATAACTGCGCATTTTTGCGTTCTCGAATTAATTTGAATGCGCTCCCGATTAAATTTTTAACTGAAATTTGGTATGAGTAAACTAGACTTGATGAATAAGATGCTCAAAAAATTTCATCAAAAAATTCCACCGGGAACCGCCCCAAATCACGACGACCGGACAAAGTCTCCTATAGAAGGACTTAATTGATTTTTTTATGAAAGTTCGAGGACCTATTTGACAGTTTTCCCTACTTTTAATGAGCATAAGACCTATTTTATTGAGTATTTAAGAGACTAACAATGAGTATCACGATCCCTACTTCATATCTTCTAATTCTTTTTTGTTTTTCTTATTTTTTCTTTTATAAAAACTTATTATATTATATCTATAATACACGCCTATTAATTTGTAATTTAAGCGAAAAATCACGTCTTTCGCTAAATGAGCAATAGTGTACTTTTAATAAGCATCAGACCTATTTTATTGAGTATTTAAGAGACTAACAATGAGTATCACGATCCCTACTTCATATCTTCTAATTCTTTTTTCTTTTTCTTATTTTTTCTTTTATAAAAACTTATTATATTATATCTATAATACACGCCTATTAATTTTAATATCCGAGTCTAATGTAATATGATACTTTTGAAATATGCATTCATATAACAATTCAAAAATGAGCATAGCATCAGTACCAAATGTCATGCATAACTTACAAAGTGCACATTGATATGAAAATCATAAGGTTTGTTAGTTGAACATCATGACATTTTAATTGAGCTTCAAACATCCGCTATATATTGAGATGAAAATCATGGTTTCTTGTGCATGTGCATTTATGAACTTTTAATGAGCATCAGACCTATTAAAGTGAGCATAAGATCAATATCAGATGAGCATATGTAACTTACAAAATGAGAATTAATGAATTTGTTAGTTGTTTTGTTAGCTGAACATCACGATATTTTAATTGAGCATTAAACCTCTTCTATTGAAATCGATGAAAATCACGAGTTCTGTTAAATGAGCATTAATGAATTTTTAATGAGCATCAAACCTATACAAATGAGCATATGTATCATGTTTGTGGTCTCGTGTTAATCAACATATATATAAATCTGATGTAATATGAGACTTTTGAAATATGCATTGCTAAAATATTTTAAAAATGAGCATAATAGAGATACTAAATAAACATGCATAATTATTTTTTGTATAACATAAAACTCTTCGTTTAACGTTATATCAATGTACATTTCGTGTAAATATTATACTCATTTAGGTATAACATAAAACTCTTCTTTTACTCATTTTATAATGTTATACCAATGCTCTTTTTTTTGAAAGTGATGCTCATAAAGGTATAACATAAAAATCATTTCTATAACTCACACATGTAACATAGTCATTACAAATAACTTAGAATAAATCATTCTTAACACATGTAACATAATCATTACTTCGGAATTTTATGAACAGTTGATGGACATTACTATTTAGAAGATAATTTTAATGAAACTATTAGATCATTACTAATTAAATAGAATGATGAAGATAATTCAATCAGAGTATCTTCATCTTTAACGTTTTAAAAAATTAAATTTAGTCAATTTTGAGAAGAATTATATAATTATTCAAATAAAGGAAAAAAAATGGAAGGAAAAATGGAACATTATCAAACTGCACTAATATGAGTGCAGCGATATTCCCCAGCGATCAACCGAATCCAAAAGGCCTTTGGATTCCCCCAAAGAATTGCGTCAATTGCTGCTACCTAAACCCAGCCAATGTTCAGCCGTTCATGTGCGCAGGAAACATCGGGAGGGGAGGGTGCAGGGAATTCAAAGGTTCTATAATAATCAGCCTCAAACTTGTAAAGAATTACAAAAATACCGGGTGTACATGTATACCCGAGTGTACCTTATAATTTGTCGTACTATACTATGCTATACTTATTTGATACTCCCTAATACAAATTGAGGACGCATAAATATGAGGAGGATAAATAGGAGGAGTGTATATACAAAAATTGGGTAGGTACACATTAAATTTTAAATATTTATATGATCTAACAGCATAACTGATTAACTTCCCATTTTAACGTGGGATTGGTTCCGTGGTCCGCCCACATGGCCTTAAATAACTTCGATAAATAGATCCACCAAATCCAATAAACAGATATTCTTTCATAATAACGAAACATACATTAAGAGGAAATGGCGATTTTCCCCTTTCGCAATTTTATTTAATTTAATATAAAAAATAATAACAATACCTGTATCGTAGCCAAAGAGGAAACCCCCAATACCGGCAATGATGGTCAAACCCAGGACATAACCATTGCTGAAATATGTAACCTTCCGGTCGCCAACGTCTAAGTACCCTGAGCTACCGGGCATCGATTGGATCGTCATTTTTCTTTGATCTCTCAAAATAAAAATAAAATAAAAACTTGCACTTGCGCTTATATTATACTCCGTATGTAGCTATAGTTATTGCGGAATCAAAAATTGAAGAGCGAAATCCCAAATGACGGGGAAAACAGGAAACCGACGCTTCCGATGGGAGGTAAACTGGTTCCGGACCAAGTCTGGAAGAAAATCTGAAAATGGAGAAGCTTTTGGAATTAATTGAAAAATTATCCGTGGTAGAGACCAGAAAGATGGAGGAGTTGTGGAGTGTACTCGACCTGAAATCAACGGTGTTTTACAATGGACTGCGTGTGACTTTTTGGGATGCGATGATGTGAGGATGGTGATGAACTCTTGCCGTCTCAAGAATGTTTGCAAACCTTTGCAAGAGTATTCTAGGAAAAAGTGATTTTCAGAAGTAAAAGCGGGTAGTAGGATAAAATATGGAGTGCCTGTACCGTACGACCGGTATACGGTGAGCACAGTATACCGGTACGTATTTATATTTTTTTTTTCCCCTTTTGTTTTTGAAAAATAGTAATAATTTTTTTATTTTTGATCCGATTTTTATAAAATTTATATCAACATTTTTTATTTTTCATGATCTTTCAAATGAGACCAATATTGCCTATGTAATTTTAACATATTAACATTTGCGTGTAAAATATGTAACTTTACGTGTTAAAATATGTAACTCACGTTCAGTCAGGCCAAATGCAACTCGTGTGTATAAATATGTATCTCTACGTGTAACAATATGTAACTTTACGTAAAAAAAATATGTAACTCGCGTTCAGACAGGTCAAATGCAACTCGTGTGTATAAATATGTAACTCGCGTGTATAAATATGTAACTTTACGTGTAAAAATATGTAACTTTACGTGTAAATATATGTAAGTCGCGTTCATGCATGTCAAATGCAACTCGTGTTTATATATATGTAACTCGCTTTTAAAAAGATGTAACTTGCTTATAAAAAGATGTAACTTGCTTATAAAAAGATGTAACTCGCTCATAAAAAGATGTAACTCAATGTATTATCAAATGTAACTGAGGCCACTGATCCACTCCCAAACAGATTCGATCTTCTATTTCACAAACCTATCATCTCCCAAACAGATTCGATTTTCCTTATAATCCAATACTCATTAATATAATAGTTCAATAATTTCTTAAAATTACATAAGCAATATTGGTCTCATTTGAAAGATCATGAAAAATAAAAAATGTTGATATAAATTTTATAAAAATCGGATCAAAAATAAAAAAGTTATCATCATTTTTTAAAAACAAAAGCAAAAAAAAAAGGGGGGGTGGCAAGCTGCGTCGTTTTGCAACCGGGCGCACCATCCTCATGGTGCGCCGGTTGCATGGTATAATTTGCGTAAAATAAGTGCTTTTTGTGTAATAGAAAAAATAAAAAATACTTTTCACACAAAAGACGAGAATCGTTTTTTAAGTAGAAGTTGTCACTTGAAAACACTACTTTTAGGTCTTTTAAGCGAAAATTCGAGAAGCAATTTTTTAAACTATTGCAAAAAGACTCTTAGAGCATCACCAATGGACCACCGTTAACATGAAATAAATTATGACACATGTCAACCAATGAATGGAACCGTCATCCATATCATGTTTGAGTGGTGTGTCGTGGATGTGAAGTGCAAAAAATAGGTCCAATCCTTCATGTTAACAGCCTATTAAAAGTTCATCCGTACATCATATTTGATCGAACCCCTCCCACATACCTGCACGCCAAACCGTCGAGATTTACATACCGTCTCTTACCTTCTATTACAATATCATCAATTCTAGATCAAAAGCTACAAACAGTATATCTCTAGGCTAAATATAAACTTTATGGGGTTATGGAATTGGGTCAAACAACCTGCGTAATCCGCAACAATTTTTTCGTAAGAGTTGATTTCAAAAAATCAAAAAGTGGTGTCGCCAGACATCTGCTTCTGAATCTATTTTGAGAGAAGAAGATAGTAATTTTAAGGGAAGTATTTGCAAATGGAAGAAATCAAATAGCGTACTAAAAATTAAATTCAATGAAGATAAAGCTTCTATTTTCTTGGAACGAACATCTGCCAAAGGGGAAAAAGAAAATGGGTGGGAGATATCACATTTTCCCACTATATATTTATCTCGTAAATGTATTCCATCGGAGATTTGATACATGTTGGTTGTACTTCTCCCACATGTTTTGGTGACTCGGCATGTGAACAACGGTGTTATCATAGGACAGTGGTGTTAACATTGTTTTAATTAATTGATTACAGGTCATCATTACATCTCCGATAACATATTGCGTTGGAGATGGATATATAACGTAAACGTTAGACTGTGATGACGAGGCTATTTTTTTTAACGTCGGCAATCACCCATTGGTGATGCTCTTAGGCTCCTACATGTACTTCCTTGAGAGCATCGAATTTTTGTATGTCCAATAATTAGCTAGATTTTCAAGTTCCAAGTTTGTTACTTGTACACACTTTTTTACCGACTCTTATGAAAAGGAATTGTGTATTATATATTCAATTGATACTCGTACATGATCTATATACATGTACAATACAAGGTGATAAGTTTAATAAATTTACCACCATTATCTGAGGATAGTGAAATGATGGTCAAATTAAAAAATGTTTCAACTAGTCATTGAAAATGTGGAAATATGAGAGACACCTCAAATTTATTTTTGAGTGCGTAAAGTCATATGTAATCAACAAATATAACATAATATTTGTGGCTTCAAAACATTAATCGGAAATACTCCGCGTGTCAATGTAATTTAATTCAAGAGGTCGACTTGCATTCTTAGAATTAGAAAACAATGGCAATTTAGTACTTTTATTTATGAAGCAAGAGTTACGATGAGAATCAGCGGCAACGGAGACATGCACTGTTTTATTTTGACTAGCTAGAATATTGAAAATACGATGAGAGGGGTGCCCAAAAGTGTGATACCAATTGGGTGAACCCGACACTTGAGTATTATTTGCTTGTGGTAGAGAGACAGAGGGTGCATAGTATACATCATGATGATTCTCCCCTTGACGAGATAATGAGAAGAAGAAAATTCAGCTGAAACATGATTAGTTTTACACACATTTGCAACAGAAACGAGATTTTTATGAAGACGCGGGGCACAAAAGACGAGTATCATTTTTTTAAGTAGAAGTTGTCACTTGAAAACACTACTTTTAGGTCTTTTAAGCGAAAATTCGAGAAGCATTTTTTTTAAACTATTGCAAAAAGACTCTTAGGCTCCTACATGTACTTCCTTGAGAGCCTCAAATTTTTGTATGTCCAATAATTAGCTAGATTTTCAAGTTCCAAGTTTGTTACTTGTACACACTTTTTTACCGACTCTTATGAAAAGGAATTGTGTGTTATATATTCAATTGATACTCGTACATGATCTATATACATGTACAATACAAGGTGATAAGTTTAATAAATTTACCACCATTATCTGAGGATAGTGAAATGATGGTCAAATTAAAAAATGTTTCAACGAGTCATTGAAAATGTGGAAATATGAGAGACACCTCAAATTTATTTTTGAGTGCGTAAAGTCATATGTAATCAACAAATATAACATAATATTTGTGGCTTCAAAACATTAATCGGAAATACTCCGCGCGTCAATGTAATTTAATTCAAGAGGTTGACTTGCATTCTTAGAATTAGAAAACAATGGCAATTTAGTACTTTTATTTATGAAGCAAGAGTTACGATGAGAATCAGCGGCAACGGAGACATGCATTGTTTTATTTTGACTAGCTAGAATATTGAAAATACAATGAGAGGGGTGCCCAAAAGTGTGATACCAATTGGGTGAACCTGACACTTGAGTATTATTTGCTTGTGGTAGAGAGACAGAGGGTGCATAGTATACATCATGATGATTCTCCCCTTGACGAGATAATGAGAAGAAGAAAATTCAGCTGAAACATGATTAGTTTTACACACATTTGCAACAGAAACGAGATTTTTATGAAGGTCGGTATGCGGGATGCATCTGTTGGTGGTACCATGTGATATAACATGAGTTGATTTGGGTTTTGGCCTCATCCGTATATTGTTTAGGAACAGAGATAGTGCCATGCATCAACATAGGCATCTAGGCCATGTCCGACAAGGGCAGAATGGACTTCACACTTCCACACCGGATAATTGGAAGCAATGAGCTTGATGAGAAAATGTGTGGAGGCAGTGAGGGAGATAACTTTGGGTAGTATTGGTGATGATCATGACGAGTACATATATAAAATGTAAGCTCATTTATGTAAGCTCAAATTTTCTTCAAGTTCATATATAAACATTCACGCACAAGAAATCACTTTTAACTAGTTAACTTTAGGGGTATTTATGTTCTAGGTGACTCCAAGAAAACCATCACTGATTAGTCAAACGGCTTCAAGTCACCGTAAGAAATTACCTATTGTATTATCGAATGTGAGAGGAAACACCGATTGAGCAATCACTCAAATTAGCATCGGACCACTTGGGATCAAAATTCATTATAATATTGTGTAACTAATACAAATTCATTGTAATACATTATAACTAATATCATGAAATCCTTGCACGTAACCGTTCTCGCTTTTGCATTTATATTTTAGGAACCTCTATTTCTATATTACATGGAAAGTATTTATATTATTCTAGCCATTAGGTAAGGGTTTGAAACAAATATAAAATGATTATACTACACTTTTCGCCCATGCGTTGCACGGAGTGCAATTAGTAAACTTGAAATTATTTGAAAAATGCATAGAAGCATAAAATAGTTACAACTCTAGTTGATGAAAAATGCTAAAGTATGTAGTGGAATTCATAAAGAAAGTCATAGATCTAAGTCGTCCTATTGTACAACTGGAAATAGCTTTGAAACTTGAGTAGGAAAATGTATTCTCCGTAAAAACAGCTCTATTATGTAGAAGGGGTTATTTCTAAATATAACCTTGATCTGTTTATGTGTATTTTCGTGTTCTTCCAATTTTATTATTCATACGGGCACCAAAACTCCCAAAGAAGGCTTGGTTGGGGCGGCGAGTCACCAATCGGTGTTTGACCATTGGGACGTACGCTAAAGCAGTGTCACTAGACACTAGTCATATTAATTTGAGGGTATATATTTTTTAGTCAATCCAAATTCTATAAATAACTTAGACATCAGTGAGAGTCTAAGTCGTAATATGGCGTTCGAGGCCTGGATTTGCTAAATATTGTCGTAGGTTAGGACTCAACAAGTCCCGAAACATAGTCGAGCAAACATATCCAATATGAAATTGATAATATTACCATTTTGCTACAAATATACATATATTTTAGTTGTTTTGTTTAGGGGTTAAAAGTATAAAGTGATTGAAAATATAGAAATAAAATTAAAGATTTGTGACATAATAGTTAAATACGAGTAATTTTGATAAGTAAA